TTCTAAGAAGCAGAATAGCATAACATGAAATAAAATTTTAAAAGCAGCTTAAATCAACTGTTGTATTATTGTGATAATGAAATGGTTAAAAACCTGTCATGGAACAAGTCTTGATCAGCAAACAGATCATTGAAATGCAATCAAGTTATGCATTGAAAGTCAGTTAATCACAACATTGCCAGTTCTCCAAAACCATTACTTTTGCATCTAAGTGGCAGTGACATGCAACCAGGTATTAATCGAGGAAAATAGACATTTGCTATGAGCCGGAGCTATAATAAATAACTTCTGTTTTTGCCAAGACTAGCAATGCAGCCCTATAAAATTCCCTATGATATTTGACTTGAGTACCTGAGCTGAGCTCCATCATGAATGATTTAAGTTGTTAAGCGCTGCAAGTGGAAGTACAGTTTGTTTATTACAAGTGTTTTCATGTGCCAAAGAAAATAAATTATCAAACTGGGGAAAGGTAACAGTTTTGTTTTTGAGATGACTGGATTATAAAAGGACTGAGGAGGGTTTGCACCTTAGACAAATTCCTGATATACTGAAAAACTGCAAAAATGGAAAGCTGAAGCGAAGAAGTATGTATAGCCATTTTAGCGCTGTCACAGGGAATCCTTAGGTTGCGAAAAGCATGAAGGAGAACAAAAGTGAATAAAACAGATTTAAAATGCAAGACAATAAAGTGACAAAAATGTGTCGAATGTAGAGGAAAATAAGAAGACAGCTAAGATTTAAATTTGTGAAAATAAGTGCTTTAAGGCTTTATAGTTTACAAGATAAAGGCAGAAAATTCTGGAGAAACTTAGCAGGTCTGGCAGTATCTTTGAAGAGAAATGTTCTGAAGAAGAGTCCTATCAGACATGGACTATTAATTCTGGTTCTCTCTGTAGGTGTTGCTGGGACCTGCAGATTTTATCCAGCATTATCTGTTTTTACTTCCAAATTTCAGCATCAGTATTTAATTTTATCGTAGTGTGCAACATATTGGGGAGACTACTGCCCTTTAAATTTGCATTTTTTTTTTAGTCCCAGCAGTGTATGAGACTGGATGCTATGAAGTGATATAGGATTTATTTTGTGTTGCGTATTCTGGATTTGAAAAGATAGACTATGCAATCTGCTTTCATTTCAATTTTATACATTTTGTTTGCCATCTTCAGTGAGATGATCTCTGCAGGAAACACAAATGCAGATTAGATCACTACTTTGCTCAACATATGCATCCTATCTGCAGGCATAATCCTCATTTTGTGATTTTGGCATTTCAACACACCATCTCTTTATTTCCACTCTGACCCTTCCATTTTTGATCATATCTGCAGTATTCCAACTAATACTTAGTGTCCCTTCAGGTACCCAAAACGCACATTCATTTACAATTGAAGTCAGACAAAAGACAATCAGTTTATGACCAATATTATGGGTGGAAAAAAGATATAGACAGGATAACCAAAATTTTGAAAATCCCAAGTCCAAAGGTAGGTTAAATTGCCTCTCAATATTTTCAATTTATTTTTCACACTGGTGACATGCTGTTATCTGTAGGGTGATGGATTCGACAGTTGTTTAGGTGCACGTAGGTCATCTTGTTAGTGTTCTAGTGTTGCTCGTGTTAAGCTTTCTCTGTCGTCTGTCTCTTTTAAACTCAAAGGGAGAGATGGATGATTTCTCATTGCAGGCACTGGATATTGTTCCACTCTGGCACTTAACAGCTTTTAACACTGCAGCTCAGTTAATCAGAGGGCTCTCCTTAGGCAAAATCTCCTTAATTTTGTGTTGCTCAGTCTTTAAATTCTTTCCCCTCACCATTTCAAAGGGCACCTTCGCTTTGTGCAATTCAGAAGTATGCAGCAATCCATGTTTGCGTTGCAATGATAATTATAGAGTCATGGAGATCTACAGCACAGACCAGTTAGCCTGACATCTGTGGCAGGGAATTTGTTGGAATCCAAATCAAAACCAGCGTAACTGATCACCTTAAACTTTCAGTTAATCAGGGAAAGCCAGCATGGATTCATGAAGGGTAGGTATGCCTGACGAACCTTACAGCTCTTTGAAAAGGTAACACAGGTGGACAGAGGTAAGTCAATGGATGATGTTTATATGGACTTCCAGAAGGCTTTTAATAAAGACCTACAGAAGAGACTGTTAGCTGAGGTGGAAACCCACAGATTCAGGGCGAATTACTGACATACATAACAAATTGGTGAGCAGGAAACAGGAAGTTGGAATAATGGCAAAGTAGTCAAAATGGCAAGATGTGGTTAGTGGAATCCCACAGGCATCTGTGTTGGGTCTTCAGTTATTCACAATATTCATTCTCAACTTGGATAATGCCATAAAAAGTCAAATGCTGAAACACAAAATTGGGTAGCAGTGTAAACAGTGTTGACAACAGCATAAAATTAGACCAGGATACTGAGAGATTAGGTAGATTAGGAGATTAGGGAAAAGTTGTGGTGGATGGATTTTACTGTAAGCAAATATGAAGTTATCCATTTTGGACTGAAAGAGAATAGATCATGGTATGCTTTAGAAGGCAAAAAGTTAAATTCAGTGGATATTAAACAAGACTTGGGGCTCAGGTGAATAGCTCTTTAAAATGCCATGAACAAGTGAAGAAAACAGTCAAGAAGGTTAATGGAATGCTGGCCTTCATATCAATAGGTCTGGAGTTTAAGGATGGAGGTGTTATGCTGCAGTTGTACAAAACCTTAATTAGACCCCACTTAGTATTATGAGCAGTTCGGCACCACATCTTAGGAAGGATGTTCTGGAGGAACTTCAACACACGTTTACATGGATGATACCTGGACTTCAGAGGTTAAATCATGAGGAGAGATTCGACAAATTAGACTTTTGTCCTGTAAGATATGGAAAGTGATCTAATTGAGGTTTTCAGGATATTAACAGGGAAAGACAGGATAAATAAAGATAAATTTTCTTTGGTTGAAGATTCCAGAACCGGGGGCACAGTCTAAGAATTAGATCTAGGCCATTCAGGAGAGATGTTAGAAAACACAGCGTAATGGAGGTTTTAGAATGCTCTTCCTCAAATAGCATTCAATGCTAATTAAATTATTAAATATAAATCTGAGGTAGACAAATTTTTTATCAAGAGATATGGGCCCAATGCAGGCATATGGAGTTAAGCCAGACATCAGCCATAATCTTATTGAATGGCAAAGCCGTCTCAAGATGTTGAATGACCTACTTCTGTTCCGATGTTCCTAAAAGGCCCCTCACTGTTCAGAAACCACTAGCTAACTATCCTAAACCCACTTTCCAGCACTTGGTCCTTGGCTTTGTATGCCTTGGCTTTGCAAATGCACATCTAAATACAACTTCAATGTAATGAGGGTTCTGCCTTCACCAGCCTTACGGGCAATGAGTTCCAGATTCCCACCAATCTCTGGCTGAAAAGGTTTTTCCTCTCATCTCTTCGAAACTTCTGCCCCTTGCTTTAAATCTATGCCCTTTGGTCATTGATCCCTGCATCAATGGGAAAATGTCTTATTGTTACCGTAATCTATGCCCCCCATAATGATACACGTTTCAATCATGTACCTTCACAATCTCCTCTGCTCTAAGGAAAACAACCCTGATCTGTCCAACATTTCTTCAATCTCTGCAGTCCAGGAAACGTCCTGGTAAATCTTCTCAGCTTCTCAACCCTGCAATCGTCAGCAACTCAATTCTGCCTGAGTGACGTTTTAGGATGAATCTTAAAACGTATTCCATTGCAAGAGGCCATTTTACTTGGGTTTGGAGAGTTCTATGCTAATGGATTATTTTAAATGAATGCACATACATTTTGTTGTAACTTTGGATATGAAACCACGCGTATAGCTTTTTAATCTAACGACTGCTGATAATTGAAAGGAAAATGCAAACTTCGGTCAATAAAGGTATCTCATAGAATTCTGAAAAGAAATGAATTAATAGGCCCTTCAACTATGTCCTGCTTATGACAGTTAACATATCTGAACCCTCTTAGCTCCTTATCCCTTCCCTTTTGTTTTATTCAACTTGAACACTTGTTGTGTCTCTTCAGAGGAGGTACCACCAGTACTGTGTTGATCCCATTCGAATTTTAGGTCAAGAAATGTATATACTGTATAGATACAATATTTTCTGTTTTTACTTGATGTGACTCGTACTTTGAAACTTTGTGGGTTCTAAGCTGAGCGAAATAGCTGAAGGATTGTTATGTAAATAGCTTGCATTAAACATTTGTGCAAGTCACTCCTGAAATTTAAGTTGAATTGCATGCTATGTATAACATGGAATTCAGAAGCAGTGAAAAAGAAAGCACACAATTGATGTTTTTTTAAGATTTAGGAGACAAGCTCTAACAAAAAAAGATCCAGGAGAGCTCGAAACATAAGCAATTTATTTGTGGATCATGCTAAAATTTTAAATGTACTGCATTAATACCAACACTTTTTTAAAATTGTGCTCATTAAATAAATTACATCATCCAATTCTGTAATTAACAGAAATAGGATTAAAATGACATATGAAAGCAATAAATGTGTAGTTCTAAAGCTGAAGTTTAGAAGTAGTTCAGTATTTACTGAAGCATATTGGCTCACTTTTTTATCTATTGTTGAGAAATTTATTGCAATTTTTGTCGTTAGATAATGCAATTTTTTTTAAAGCAAGCGCAAACAGATTATTACAAAACCAGCAAAAGGTGCTACGATTTTGTGGAATTTGATCAGGCAAGATACATCCAAGATCAATTTTCTTAGCTGCTAAGCATGGAGTTATTTCTAAATGCCAATTGTATACCCAGTTTTTTGGCATTAGGTACAAGAAAATAGACAGAAGCACAATATAAAGAAAAGAAGAACATTTTCAACCATTTAAATTTGTGTACTACTTTTTTAATGCTTCAATGAAATCCAATGTTAAAAGACAGCGAATAAATATGCAGAAAGGTCACGCAAATTACTTTTAACCAGGGACACATAATTTGATTTGTGTTGCAGTCTGAACCAGATGGATTTTCACATTTCCACTTGTATGTTTGTGCTGCCTTTCTTGTCAAATGGAGAAAAGAAATATTGGAAGAAAAGGACTTTCAGGTAAGAACGCACTTTTTCTTACATAATTAACAGGCTGTGAGATGCATTGAGATTTTTATTGTGGAGTTTTTGATTTGTACTATGCGTTTAGCTGTTGAGTACAAGAATGAAAACTTGAGATTTTCATTATCAATGAGAATTGTCAAAATTAACCACTCATACTGATGGGTTCAAATCATATCATTTAACTGTGGATTTAGTAAAATCTGGAAAGCTACCCTGAAAGCCTTTGAAATAACAGTGATGGAGCTGAGGCGATCTACCTCTTTATTCTGGAAGCTAATTTGATCAACTGCAGGATTTGTTCAGAGGTAATGTTGTTAAGGGAGGATGCTGATGAATGTATTTGCCTCTATCATGACAGGATCTGCCCTTCACAGCCTTTTCCCTCTGTGTAACTTGCTCTGTTGTTCTTGCATTCCACTTTGGCCCTAACTTTTGTCAGCTGTACTTTGCCATTTGTGCTGCAGCAAATTCTTGTGACACAACTAGTTCTTGGCCCTTCAGTGCTTGCAACCCATATCTTCCCCTTGATCTTTGACCCTTTGCATAAGGCTTTTCATATTTGGGAGCACCCACCAAGTATTCATATCCACTGTCACTTAGTCAAGGTGTCTAATTCAAGCCATGGGCTCCTCTAGTCTTCTGAGGAGGATGTGTTGAGTCTCTTCCTGCAGCCTGGCTGTCAGTAATGCAAATACTTCACATTCTGCAGCTCCTGTGAATAACCTGTATTTCCACTGGACATAATTGCCTTTGCTGCAGACATTCTGGTTCCACAAAGAAACTCCCATGTTTTCACCTTTTATTGATATAACAATGACATCCAGGTTTGAGCAAGAGGTCCACGGATGGTCATCGACAGTTCAAATTCTCAACCTTCTAATTTTAACCTAATTAAATGAGCACCTTGAACTGAGATTACTCTAGATTTATTTGAATTTCATTTACTTTAGGTTGCATATCAGTCTCTCTATACAGATGTTTCAGTTTAATGCGCAGGTAAGCCTTTAAATAAACTCTATTGCCACAGGAAGTATCAAATACACTTTCACAACACGTTCACATTGTGATATTGCCTTCTGTATTTCTATTGCTTTTTTTCTCTGGTTTTCTTGCTTTAGACTGTACACAATTTATTCCACATGAAAAATTCATGCCTAGAATAATTGAATAAGCCCCCGCCCTATTCTGTTCGCATTTTGCACACTAACAATGAATTTATTTTATCCATATCATGTTGCTATAGAAATTAATTTGAGAGTTACATATGGTCTTGTAAGTACAACTAAGACTCCTGTGAAAACAGAATGAAGTTTTGCTGACCAGCCACTTGCCTGCCTTCTCTCTACAGCCCAGAGTTTGTAGAGGGAAACTGGCCACACAGTTCCTTGTCCACTACTCGGGTTTGCTTTATCCTGACTGGCTGCCTCTCCAATCATGGATTCTGCCTTTTGGAGGAGCAGCGATAGCCGGAAGGTGTAATGGGTGAAGCAGCTTCTCTCTAATTCTGTTTCTCCTACGTTCGTTGCTCCTCGAATCACAACTGTGCATTATTTATCCACTATCACTGATAATTGCACTTTCAATTGTTCAGCATGGTTAACATTAAGGAGGAGTTGGAGATTAGAAGTAATTATGTACAAGAGCAGCCTTTCTGTCACTTTTTTACTTTTTGCCCTCTTTTGAATTTTGACAAGCAGTTTTGTTTTAGCTTTTGAGGACAAATTCACCTGCTGCTACTGTATATTTAGAGGAGTGCTAATGTGTTAATGTTAACAGTAGTAATGTTTGTGCCTTAAAGATGGGATTTTAAGACAATTTCCAGACCAGTAGCCTACTTTTGGTATTCAGTACATGCATGCAATGGTGATATAAATTGATAATACAAAGACATGTTTTCTAGCACTGCTGCCAATTGCACTAACTACAAATAATGCCTGTAAAATTTTGTTTGTACCATGCCAAAGAGTTGTGTTTTTTTTTATTCAGTGTGCCTGAATTACATGTTTAAGTATTTCTACTCCAGAATCCGTTTCAGCTACAGTGGCTAACTTGCAAATTGGTCCAGTTACATTGAACTGAATATATGAATAGAAAAGTCATACTTGCTGGATTACTTATGCAGCTTGACAACTGCAGTTATGTTCTTTGAGACTTAATAAGAAAACGTGAGAAAGTAATTGCAAAATTAACTTGCTCATTCAAGTGAATAATTTTTGAATTAACAGAATATCTGTTAGATTGTGATAGCTTACCACCTTTGCCTTGTGTTGTCATTACCAAAATTGCAACAGTAACAGCTCTTGAAAGATCACATTAATGGCAATGATTAGAAAAAAGTCTATTTAATATTGGCTTTCAAAATGTTGTGTTAAAACCCATTCCATTTACTGGAATATATAAAGGGGAAAATGAGACCTGTCCCACATCAAAGTAACATGTTGGGTTATAGTTTCCATCTGTTGCTATGAGGTTATATTATGAGCTTGCCTTTCTTCCTGTACTACAGTTATGTTAGTTACTTCGTAATGAAGTATTTATAACTGTACTTCATTTTTTATAGCACAAAAATAACTTTTCTTTGTGGTATCAAAGGTTTCTTAGTAATAAGTCTTCAAGCAATTTTTTGTTTTGTTCAACGTTTTTGTTAAGTCTTATAAGTACAGAAATGAAATTATTTACCAGCTTAATGCTCATGATGAAAAATTAATATGCTGACTCATATTGAATGTAACTCATGCATCTCTAATGCTGTGAAATATTTTATAGTTTTAAAATATTTTTAAATCTATTCACTCTGATCTAAAACCTGGAGAGGAAGATTTTAAATAATTTATCATAAATAGCTTAAAGTTGCACTAATTTCTATTGAGGGACTCTATTCCCAAGATGGGAATAAAGCCGACTTGTAAATAACTTGTTTGCAAAATCTGGCTTGTTTGAGAGCTATTGTTGCTTGGAATTACTAGACAATGTGGGTGCATCCAAAATTACTCATTCCTTTGTACATCCTGCAAAAACAGAACATCATTGTAAGTATTTCAGATTTGTTATAATTTTTGGTATAAACTTGTGCTTCTTCAAATATATGTAGACTGTAACTTTAAACATTTTACCAATAAATGGAAAGTGCCCACTTGTTGCAAAATAGTACTTCAGAGAAGTGCACTCATCCCGAACTGAAAAAATGCACATAACGGGTTAGATTCGTCTGCAATCTGACGACATCTAATGGATCTGGAGCCAAATTTGGCTCAGTTGTCTCAATATATTTTCACATTAAACTGCTAACAGTTCCAGTGTGGGAAGAAAATGTCTAACTAATGAAACTGGAGATATCGTTCTGAGGTTATGTTTAAGAAACAGTTGTCGGCAAAGTGGAAAGACGTTTGCCATGTATTTCATACCTTTAATTCCTTAGGATAATACGTTGAACAAGTATCCAAACATTTTCAATTCACTTAAGCCTGATGAGCACCAAAACTAAAACACAGAAGTTAACATTGTTAATATCCCTCATTGTAAGCATTAAGCAATTTGTCAGCTTGTCTAATAATTGATAAACACTTTACGCTCATGGTGCTCAAGAGTTACTAGTCTGCAGGAAGAATTTGAAATGGATTTGTACAACTGTGTAGCACTGCCAAATGTTGGAAGAAGTCTACAGTGCAGAGCAATGTATAAAGCAGTTTGTTAAATAAGAAAAAGTATATTATGTTGGGTTATTTTATTGTTATACAAATCCAAATTGTGCCAAATGACCCAAGTAAATCACAACTCCATAAATTCTCTTCCCATGAAATATCGAAATTTGACAGTTCACAACAGCTCTCCACACTATCCACAGCGACACCAACCTTTGTGTTATTGGCAAGCTTACTAACCCACCCTTCCACTTCTTCATCCAAGTCATTTACAAAGATCACAAAGAGCAGAGATCCCAGAACAGAATTCAATAAGGCTTGTGAGGCATGACCTGCCCCTCTCGAAGCCATGCTGACTATTTCTAATCAAACTATGTTTTTCCAAATAATCATAAATAATGTCTCTCAGAATCCTCTCCAATTATTTGCCTACCACAGAAGTAAGACTGACTGGTCTGTAATTCCCAGGATTAACCCTATTCCCTTTCTTGAACAAGGGAATAACATTTTCAAACCCTCCAATTATCTGGTACTACTCCAGTGGACAATGAGGACGCAAAGATCATTGCCAAAGGCATATCAATCTCTTCCCTCGCTTCCCGTAGTAACCTTGGGTATATCCCGTCTGGCCCAGGGGACTTATCTATCCTCATGTTTTTCAAAATTTCTAGCACATCCTCCTTACTGAACTCAATTCTTCATTTTTGTAGAACTAGTCTGAGAATGCTCTCAGGGGCCAACTCTGACTAGTTCAATGACTGCCCGACCTTGGTAATTGAATCACTTCTCCTGAAATAAATTCTCCCAGGACTCGTGATATTTACCTAACATATAATTTATGATACGATTTTGGCCTTTATCAGACAGCTAGTTTTATCAAACTTCTGCTGAATTTGTCAGAGTTCCAATCTTTCTCAGCTGCATCAAGCAAATACTGCTTGTGGGCTTACTTCACCCCACTTTCACTTGCACTGAACTATCAGTGGTTTCTCAACTACTTTTGTCCCTAACCTTTTTAGAACATTACAGAGCTGTTCTAAACAGTAGCATTTGTGCTGCCTGTCCACTTCTGTTTCAGCTCTCTGCAATCTCCAAGCTGCAACTAATTTCTCCAGCAGCAGGGCACAATTAAATTGAAACCAGAGGACCTTCTTTGGCTTCACCTATCTACATGCAGCATCCCATGCTTTGAGCTATCCTTAATCTACCTTTATCTTAGGTATTCCTCATTTGCACTTTCTTCTTTGATCTGGTGAAGTGAGTGGGTTTTAGAGCCTTAGAGAATTTGCTGAATGTATTTAACTAATTTAGCTTAAACTCCCAAAATAAACAGTCTCTCAGGACTATCATTAC